GTGGCGTTTTGTTTTTTCTGCAAATGCGCTTTTCTAAATAAAAGAGCTGTTAGCAAGTACAAAATGAATCTGTAGCGCACAAAAAACCAAAACTAAATATAGCTCTGTCTACCTGGCATTGACGGATCCGTCAGAATTAGGTGTCCTTTCTCCTTTGCCGATATGGGGAATTCTCAAATATTACTAGATAACCATCTGTCATTCTACCGTGATGGATACTCGTGAAATAAGGTATAAACACGTGCCGTTCTTATTTGGTTAGAGATAAGCGTGGTGTTGCCAGATAGATAGTCCTCTTCAGAATGAAATCGTTGTCCATCAGTTGTCATATTTATCATTCGATTGCAGCATCCAAAATATATTTTTCATTCAATAAAGTTATACACGACACTTTTCGCTTCTGCTCTACGCGCATGTAAACAGAAGTTATTCTCAAAAGCTGTAAGTGTAAAGAGGAACTTCAGCTTGAAATTCCATTTTCTTCTAACCTCAAACTGCTTATTTGATTAATCGTGGATGTATTTATATGGTTTCCAGTTATCTAGACAGCCTGGCCTTTATTTCGCATGACTTTTTGACGCAACCACCACAAACTGTGAGAAGGATTGAGATCCATTCAGCTCACAATAAATGTAGCATTTTCTAAACATTTTATGACAGCTTGACAACACCGCCTTGGTACATGCAACAAAACTCTGCAACTTTGCTGTTAAGCACCAAAATACGTAAGATTTTGAGTAGTTTTATCGTGTCACATCACTACGCGATGATGTAACAGAAAATCTGCGGCCAGCTCCCCTAGTATAATGTAGAAGAAACCCAAGATCGGCGGATTATAAACATATTCCACAAAGTGCCTTCTCTTGAATATAGCTACTCTTTGGTCATATCATATCGCGTATCATTAACTACATATAGCAATATCTTTGGATATAGTTATACAAGAATCACATATAATAAATTCCAATTCTTATCATACCTATCTATAGACGGAATTCCAAAGGCCTCTACTGACACTGCAACTATATGGAAACACAGAAGCCTACGTTGAGCAGTTATATATATTCTATTCTTCACACCATATAAGTTGCTGTTTGGCAATTCTGTAATTATCACTATTATAAATGTACGAGTGATCATAGATATAGGTACTCCATATTTTCTGCTTTAGATGCTTTTATATGATTTCTTTGCTACAGCAGATGAATACTTACTAATATAAGTTCTACAATAATACTTAAGTATAAACTCTCGTGCGCTTTCCCTTTTCAGCTTCAACATGAAGCAAATAGATCAATTCTTGAAAACAAGGGAGTAAGATTCAAATATTTATATATGTGTACTGTCTACATCATGATACGTTGTAAATATCGTGAACAGTCTATAACATATATTATGAAAAGGCAATACGGCCTTTTGCGTGGCATTAATAGAAAGTACCCTTGTGGTAGTAAGTAATTCGATTGTTCATTTGTGAATAAAAGGATCATGCACTTTGTTTAATATAAAACCAAAACGGCAGAAAAAAATATCCGTGTCAACAAACTGTACAAACATGCGATCTTTCTAGGCGTGTATAATTTTTTATATTTCTATAGGTATAGATAAATCTTCCACCAATGCTATCAATTTTGTTTTAAATAGACTCAACTTTGAAGTTTTCTTATACCTAAGGGCATAACATTGTACGATTTTGGACCTTAAAAGCTATGACATCTAGTAAATATACTGTTATTGAGTTTTGGCATCGTAGTTTCGGGGTGTTTGCTCCGTGTATCACAATTATAGTAATAACTTTACTCTCACGAAACGTAAGTACAACATTATAGATATGTAATTGATTAAGTCCAAAACAATGATAGGTCGATCAGCTGAAATGTCAGGTATGTTATGGGCTTATTTTATATTTTCTTTGGAATCGTTTTCTATAGTCGATGCGATGATAAAATATATAAATTTTGTTGTGCATCCCACGCTAGGGGATATGACATTCAGTTAATGAGCTGTTGACTATTTTCAGAATAACTACTGGAATTGAGAGTGGTTTCGAGGAACTGTATTATTTAACCTTTCCTTGATATAAAATTTGCTCCCAGGGACATTATCTTGATAAATAGTGGGAGAAATAGGACGGAAGTCTCGCCTCGTGCACCAGTCTCATCTCTAAAGACGAAGTTATTTTTTGCGTACTATCCTTTTTAGAGATAGCAGATTTAACAAGAGACCGGCAGCTTGGTGAACTATTTTAAAGAAATAGTCGAGGTTTTGTCTTTTACTACCTACGCCACTGGACGAGGAAGTATTGAAATCGCGAAAATTTCGAAAATGAAATATTGTGTTTTTTGATGTTATATGACATGTACTTCATTCATTTCCGTCGGTCTGTCTTTCTAATCGCTAATGCTTGGTTGAAATTCGGTGGCTGGGGGTTGTACGGGGTGGTTAGGGTATATGAAATTTTTTGGATCTTATAGTATACGCTCCCAACTCTGGTGATTCTATGCACCTACTAGCCATATTTCACACATCATAGATTTCCCAGTACATTTGCCCCCATAGAGAATTGTTTTAGATCTGCGTACTCCTGCTACACAATAAGCAGACTGCCCGGCGAACCAGTCTAGCCAACTAATCGATCCGTACTTCAGTGCGGATGTGAAAATGGACAAAGTTACCAGGTGGACAGTAACTACCAGTAGGGCAGGAAAATAATGCCTATGGACTATTTGAATGGGCCTGTTTGACTGACTTGATCCATTAAATACCACTGCTGTACATATCCGTCATAAACTGTTTTCTCAGAAGATCAAATTGCGCTGAACTGAATCATTTATGAACAGCGTTGCGTAGTAAGTGGAGCTTCGATCTACTTGACGCCATTTTTTAGAGCTGGAAAAATTCACCATTTTGCCTTTAGAGGAAGCATGCTCTGCTACAGTTGCAGAGGAGGAAAGTAGACGGAATGTTGACAACACTAAGCTATCAACTGACTTGAAATTAAACGAATATGTAAGATTAATATTACTCTGACAGGATTGAAACAAATTCATTAATAAAATTATCAACATTCTACTATGTAATTTTAACTTCTTGTTCTTGAAAACGCTATATTCAGCTCAAGATCTTCATCCTCACTTGAATCTATTCCAAAGTAATATTTAGCACGACCCATTATTTAAATACGTGTAATAAACGGCACAATAGATGGTTAAGATTTAGGTTTGATATATGATTAGAACAGAAAAGATAAAAAGGCACAAAATGGCAGCCAAAAAGTCCTGCTTCCCAGCTATGAACAGCTCATAGATGCCTATACGCTAAAATTCGAACCTTTAGTTCTCCCTCAAGACCAGAACTGTTAGAACCACTTCAGAAACAGTTCTGAATCAGTTCAGAATTTGTTGGATCAGGGAACTGCCAGTTACAGAATCAGTTCCATTTTCTGTTGAAATTTCGATCTGCACATGCTCTATTCAGTTCAGAACTAGTTCGATGGTTTGTTGGAGCAAATGTTTATGAGTAACAAAAGAGATATGTCTTCTTGAATTTCAGTTTTTTTCTAAACTAAAATTTTGTATTTCACCAATCATCGGTATATTTGACAGACAGCCTGACCCTAAAAACGAAAGGGAAAGCACTCGATTATGGATATTTCTATTCGCGAGCAATATATCTGTCGCCTACTTTTTTAGATATATTCCCTTTTTCTTAGCAAGGCTGCATCTGACTTGGTATAAATATAGTAATGTCACCCTCTACATGGTTAGGTATAAGAATAGTGAAATCGAATAAAGTTTTTTCTGCAACAGGAGTAGGTAATTTCTCTTTCAAAGCAGAATAACTTTTATCAGCTTTTCCTGATAATAACGCAGTACCTATATTGTACAAACAAGTTCTTATTTGACTAGTTTCATCTATCACTGGCTCAGTTGGGGGATTTTCCACGGATTCTGGATCTATGGCTGCCACTGATTTTGTAATTTGTTTGGTATTGTTGGCAGAAGCTTCAATATCTATTGAATCTTGGATTTGTAGTGGCTCTGTGAACGAAAACGCGAAAATTTATACATATCTAAATCTAGCAACAAGGTTATATTTTCATCCTTTTAATAGGATTTATCTTTTATCGGCATCTTAGGCCAGGCAAAAACCTCGCATTCGTGTGACACATTTTCGACCCGATTTTTTTAATAATCACCTTTGTTGGAGGCCCCTCGACGACAATCCAAATATGCAAAGAATAAACACTTGTATCAAAAATCATATTTTTTTATTTTGATCATTCTAACAAAAAATGGCTGCAGTAACTTTTCTCTAAAGTTGATCGTTATCAAGAATTTAAGTCTCAAAAACCCTAAAAATCAAGAACTCGAATTTATTAAAATATTCTAAAATAAAGTTCTTAGGTACATGGTCAATGCCCCTTGGTATGTTTGTTATGTTTGTAATACGAATATTCATCGCGATTTACATATCTCTCTGGTTATTTACAAGATCAAAAAAGTAGCGGCCAGGCACGAAAAAAGGTTCCATCAACACCTCAGAGCCAAATCTCTTCAGCTGCTGGCCAACCACAATTCTGTCCGACGATTGAAAAGAACCAAGCCGTACGAACTTGTGTAGTGTTTTGTGTGTAAAGCAGATCATGTGCGCGAATTCTTAGTTATATCATTCATTATACGTTAAGATTATCTAACGGACATCAATAGATTGCCTTTAGTGGTGAGTATTAGTTTATAGAGAAACAAAATTAATGGTTGATCGAATTTGTTTTACACGCGTCACCATGTATGTTGCATTTAAAGAACCACCCAGCAACCGTTTAACTCGTGTTAAGGATCATTCAACAAACGTTATTATGAAAAAAATCCACTCGGAAAATCTCTTCCACGAATACGAACTGTTCATTTGTTTGTCTGAACAAGTTTGCAGTGCCCCTTCTGCGTTTCTTATTTACAAAAAAATCCTGCTCCTGTATAGTCATAATGAAGTATCCTTACCTGGAAGTCGTAGTGTAGGTACACAAGTTTTCCTTCTAGATTTCATCAAACTAACTTCCTCATCTTTAAAATGCTTCTCGCAAATGGATATTTTCTCTGGTCTTACTGTTGAAAGATTTAGAAATTTGGGGTTCCCTGTCGCTTTTATCCAGGCGCAATACAAATCCCAAGATTTTCTAGGGCCAGGCGGCCTAAACAAGGACGCTTCGGGATCTTTCTTACATCCGAGGACAGAACAGATCATGTGGTTATAAGGCATCTATGGAAAAATACATAATAATGAATTACAAGTAATAATAAGGATAGGATGAAAAGTCATCGGCCCGACTATGAAATACTGCGATTTTTATAAATAATATCATAAGGGCATCTAATTTTTTCGAAAAAAAAACGAAAAAACACGCTGCTAAGTAATATAGAAGCATACATACAAGAAGCATGAGTGCTGGTGACAACAAAAATTTACGAGTCGAAGACGAGGATTTTTGCACCTGCATGAAAGCTTTTTGTTGAAAAAATATTACTTTGCATTGTGTTTTTTCGATTTTTTTTACAGGAAACAATTAAATGCCCGAATGGTATTTGACAAGACTATTTCATGGGTAACAGATTATTTTGAATATACATAGCTTACAAAATTTATTGACAACAAAATCAGAAAAATTGTTTAGCATCGTTTTCTGGTGTCCTAGGAGACCATAATTACGACGGATGTCTTTTAAGTTTTGCATATAGAAACATAGTAGGTCGCGCAGATCGAACGTCAGTACTGAATCTCAACCTCACTCTTTAGTTAACTTAAATTCAAAGTTTCACAACAATACGTGCCTCACTACAGTGAATTTTTAAGTGTCACCAAGCCATTAGAAAAATGGAACTCAACCGAGAACATTTTCGCGCCATAATTTATTACAACTTTCAGAGACAATTATCGCAACAAGAATGCCTTGCTGAGTTACTGTCTGTTTACGGCAACGAAGCGCCACATCAGTCGACAATTTCCCGTTGGTATGGAGAATTCAAACGTGGACGGGTGAGTCTTAGCGACGATTCCAGGGTGGGTGCACCAAAAATGGCAGTCACCCAGGAAAACGTCGATGCTGTGCGCAAACTCATCATTGAAGATAGACATGTGACATATCGCGAGATTGAGGTGTCCTTGAAGATCTCAAAGACCTCAATTCAAAAAATTTTACATGAAGAATTAGGAGTAAGAAAATTAGTTTCTCGTTGGATACCCCACCTGTTGACTGAAGAGCAGAAAGCAGCCAGGTTTAATTGGTGTCAAAAAACGCTTGACCGTTTCGATTCCGGAAACCCAAAAAATGTGTACAGCATTTTTAGTGGTGATGAATCGTGGATTTACTGTTATGAACCAGAAAATAAACGACAGTCGGCTGTTTGGGTGTTCCAAGTTGAAGAAAAGCCAACAAAAGCCATCCGTTCTCGAAGTGTTTCGAAAAAGATGGTCGCGACATTTGTGTCAAAAGCGGGTCATATTGCAACAATTCCTCTTAATGATAATGCTGTCATACAATTTTTCTATCTGGGAACCATTTGTAATTCAAAATTGCGCGTGTGTGAGTGGTAGAAATTAAGACGAGTGAAATAGTCAGTTAAAATTATTTTGCATAAATCTAGGAAAAATGTAAGTGCCAAATCAAGCGAATAGGGAGAATGGCGAGCAAATCATACCCCAAATCCTGCAGTTTTCTCATTGTCAACACACGTTTGTGAGCAAGTGCGTTGTCCTAATGAAAAGCGATTTTTCTTTCCCAATCCAGACATATATCTTACGAATTTTGGCTTCTTAGTTGAACAAGGAGGTGGGAATAGTATTCGGACATAATTGTTCTACCCTTTTCAAGGCAATCATTTTACAAATTCGCTTTCGCATTACAAAACATACTGGCCACAACCTTTACTGCGCTTGAACTTTTTTTGCGCTGAACCACGGCTTTCAGCAAATGCGGCACGTAACCTTCTTATTCCCAGTTGTTTGTGCAAGATGTTTCACACCATTTCAACACTGTACACAGTGATCTATAGATCTATCTATATGAAAACCTTTCAAAAATTGAAAAAACAGTATCGAAAATGAAAGAAAAACATTACCCATTTCAAAGTCAATACCATAATCAAGTTAGTCATGGAATAAAAGTTTGCTTACACTACCTCCACCATGGCAGGCTATGGAACTTGAAGTTGGTGGTGTATCGTTCGAAACTATTTTTTAATGGCAAAATTGGACTGCTTCTGATTCCTCCATTGTGTAATATGTTGGAAACATTTGTGCATCTGAATATGGATCATAATAGAGTACGAACGTTCATTTAATGTAACAGAAATCTGTCATTATTGTTGTCTTTACCGTCAATTGCACTGATTACTATTTTTAGCTTCACTTTTTATAGTAGTATTATTCAGAGAGACATTTTTAGTCAGTTTCCACTCATTACCCCAATTGATATAAATGATTTTTTTTTATATCGAAGCAGCCGCGCAGGCAGAAGCCCAAATGCCGGAACACCGCGGCTGCTATGATGATCCCAAAGAAATTTTATTAATACGATTTTTGAACTGCCTAAGGTTAATAGATCTTCGAAAAGCCTCCTCTTGTAGATTATTCCACAATCTCGACACCCTCGGCACAAAGGAGCGGTCGTATCGGCCGGTTCTGGATGTACGAAGTTCGACACGGTTAGGATGGGACGCCAAAGTTAGGCGGGTCTGTCTGGCAGGCACATCGCGCGACGGCATCATGGAAGAGAGCTCCGAGGAGCAAAGCCCGTTGGTGTAACGGTAGAAAAGAGCCAGATCGCCGACAGCCCGCCGATGCGAAAGAGTCCCGACACTGTCTGTTAGAGAAGAGTCATCGATCAGTCGGACCGCCCTCCTCTGGACAGCATCGAGCATGGATAATGTAGTCGGGGCGGCAGCACCCCAAACGTGCGAGCAATACTCCAGGCTAGGCCTTATCTGGGACTTGTATAGAGTGAGAAGGTCATGCGGAGAAAAGTACTTCTTAGCCCTAAACAAATAGCCTAGCTTTTTTCCAGCAGCTGCAGCTATTGACGAGATGTGTTCGTGCCAGATCAGGTCCTCGGTGATCTGGACTCCGACCAGCCGAAATGAATGGCTCTTTGGCAGAACTCGACCATCCATCGAAACCGGGTGAGCGCAGGGACGCTTCTTGTTCGTCAGAGTGCAGTACTGCGTTTTGGAAGCATTGAACTGTACAAGATTGTTTCGTCCCCAAGCAGTGATAGCCTCCAGGTCTCTTGTCAGAGAGGAAGTCATCACTAGTCTTCTTTTTTCCAACTCAGCGGCAGAGATCGGCTTGTCACTCTGAATTCCTGCATGTAGAGTGCTGTCATCAGCGAAGCTGTGGATTGGGTTGATCGTGCAGGAAAGGAGGTCGTTGATATGTAAGAGGAACAGTGTCGGAGCCAAGACCGATCCCTGGGGATCACCCGCGTTGACGTTGTGGGATGAAGAGGAGAACCCGTCAATTACGACGGATATCTTGCGGCCAGAGATAAAGTCAGCCACCCATCTGCAAAGCTTTTCTGGGAGGCCATAGGATGGAAGTTTGCTTAAGAGGGCAGCGTACCTGCGTGCCACAGCTGATCGAACGCTTTCGTGATGTCAAGAGCAACGACATGAGCCTCACCATAAGACTGGATGAGTTTACTCCTCAATTGAGTGACGTAAGCTAGGAGGTCCCCTGTGGATCGTTGGTGGCGGAAACCATACTGCCTGTCGCTAATCAAGCCGTGACGTTCGAGGTAGTCCAGAAGCTCGCGATTTATGCACCTCTCCATCACCTTACTTAAAACAGAAAGCAGAGCTATAGAGTACTTGTAAGGGTCGGTCTTAGATCCCTTTTTTGGGATGGGTTGGACATGAGCAAATTTCCAGTTTTCTGGGAAGGTGCCGGATTCATAAGATATATCTGTAAGAGACACGAAAGAACTGGAGCAAGCTCCGGTGCACACCTCTTCAGTACAATGGCAGGAATCAAGTCCGGACCAGAAGCTTTGTTGATGTCGAGCGACAAGAGCACTCGTCTTACGGTCTTAGGCCTGAATGTTACCTCCCGCATAGTTTGTGAAACTTGGAGTAGTGCCAGATCAAATGTACTGTCAGTTTTTGCTTTCTTTTGCAAACAATTGAGAAGTACAACCTTGCATACTGCCATATTATAGCAGCTAGTCGGATACGCTAATTTAACTTTTTAAAATTTGTCCTTGTGTTGCATTCTCTTCATCTGCCTTCCTAGCGACAAACTGATCTATTATTTGAACTCAACGATCGCGAAAACCTATATGACACAAGTTTGGACTCGAATACTGGACTCATTTTGAATTTGTGCTTGAAATGTCCTTCAGATGCCCTTATAGCGACTAATTGACCTCTGACTCTGACTTAGTGAACAGAAAAACCTAAATGACATGTGGTATGGATCAACTGATCGGCTTCTTTTGAAAATGTCCTTGATATGACCTTGAATTACCTTCAAATGCCCTCATAAATACAAACTAAGATTTGAAATGAGCGAAATAAAAAACCTTGTTGTTCTGGAAGTTGTATAAGTGTCAGCTTTTCGGTGTTCTAGACCACTGTGCGACATCGTGGTCTTTTTCGATGGACTCAGGTGTGGTTGCAGTTTTTGCTTGTCCTTTATGTGGGTCATCTTGAAGTAGTGCTGCCAGGTCAGATTTGGTTCATACCGAAGCAGAAGGTAAAACAAACTGGGATTCAGAATTATAGACCGGGACAAACAAACAAAGTTTTTTAAAGTTCTTTAATTTATTGTCTTTCACAACTAATATAGTTTATGTATACTGAGTGACAAAAAAGGTAATCACACGTACGTTTATTAGAATTCAAGAATTTTTTACATATCGATTTATCTTGCCATGCACAACAAGTGATAAAATGGTCAGGTTTTTCTGTTAAGTTTTTGTGGTGGCTGCGTGTGTTGTTTGGTGATAAAGAAGCATTCAGTTTTCGTACATTTACGGTGTCAGTTAAATGTTAAATTTCGTGTAGCTCATTGAGAAGCCTTTTTATAATTGCTCAAAATGCCTAAAGTGCGTAGAATTGATGTGCCAGCTAAGTGCGTGAGGCTGGTCTAACGATAAGAGAAGTTTCTAGGAGGACCAACAGATCCGTGCGCAGTATACTGCAGTGTGAATGAGCGTGGACTCTTTAAGGCCATGGACAGCGAGCGAGGGGTTCTGGACGTCCCAGAGGGACCACATAGCGACAAGACCGCCGGTTAAGACTTCTGGTTCTGAGAGACAGATTCAGTAGTACTCGAGCCATCGCTAATCAGTGGTTTGAAGAGCATGGAAGGATGGTTGGTATGCGTACGGTATATCGCCGAATACGACAGTTTGGCCTGTTTTTCTTATGGCCCACATTGGATGCTACCTCTCACAGCTGAACATCGGCATAACCGTTTGCTCTGTTGTAGAGAAATAATTCTATGGGACAGGGAACGGAATCAGGTTGTCTTTAGTGACGAATCCCGCTTATGACGTGGTGAAAGATGTGATCCACAATTTGACATGAACGTCACGTTCAGCACACCGTGGGAGTTTGGTATGGGGTACTATTGCTTATGCTAGCAGATCACCACTAATTTTCATCAGAGGCAATATGACAGCCCGACGCTATATTCAGGAAGTAGTGGAGCCTCATCTTATTGCATACCTAAGCACCGTCCAAAACCCGATTTTTCATCAAGATAATGCCAGAATTCATGTTGCCAGAGCATCGTTAGCCTTCATGGGTCAACATCGCATCAACCGTTTACCTGGGCTACCACGATCGCCCGACCTATCTTCAATTGAACATATCTGGGACATGATAGGTCGGAGACTCTTGAATTTGCAACACCGTCCGCAGACTTTAGCAGCTCTTACTCACGAAGTTGCAGTGGCCTGGAATGAGATACCCCAACAGGATATCGACCACCTTATCAGCACGATGCCCAGGCATGTCAATGAGTGTATAAGAAATCGTGGATCCTCAACACATTATTGAACCAGCTTCTGCAGTCATTTGACGAATTAAGCTGAAAATTTAATCATTTTACTAGTAAGGGACACTGAACATGTATGTCAAAAATTATTAAAATCGGATATTAACACGGATTATATTTTTCGTTAAATTTTGCTGCCTTTTTTTATAGCGTTAGTTATAACATTCACTGCAAGCCATACTACAGATGTTTTTAATTTGAATTTCTACTTTAACATGATCGAGTGTTAGATGATTTCGCCTCTTAAACCATTTTAAGATCGCTTGGGAAAATTCCTTTCCCGTTGACGAGTTCTATCCCGGTATTAAAGCCATTTCCAGTATTTGAAAATAAGGTGCCATTTTCGTAGCGGCGTCAAGTCTTTGTTTTGCACTGCTGCCTTCACTACTTTTTTAATTTCACACTTCTTCATAAAGCTGATCCATATCGAAGAACTTGTTTCAATAAATTTATTGATTTATCGAAACATTTAGTATTCCTATCAGGTGCAAATCAGGACCCGTACCCAGGCCCGTGAAAACTGGTATGTCCCGCGCAAATATGGACACTTTTAAACAGTTGAAATCGAAGGAGCAGAGTCCCCGTGAACTTTTGTCAACTTCGGAAGAATTTGAGGGGAGCTTGAAAAACTTGAAACTTACCCATTTTGATGAAAAGACATTCTATTTAAAAATTGGTGTTGACAAACTGCTTGACAGAACAAGTTGAAACTTATCATACGGACAAATGGTATGTGCACCCATGCAGGAATTATACATTTTCGCTGATTAGAACGCAATATCTGTGTTAAGGAGAACATTTTTCACTCCTTCTCCGTAAAAAGAAAACCATTGGTGATATCATAAATTTAAACAGTGAATGTAATATTAATTCGTATTAAAAATATAGATATATTTAAATGCTGATGTCTATTGAAAGTAGTCATTTCTACTTACTTTGGATGGTGTATCGGGTATTCAAACTTGCAAAACGATCCAAGAAACTTAATTTTATTATTTCAGTCTTCTGTCGCAATTGGCAAACGTATGAAAGGCACAAACAATTCAACTGAATTATCCTTAATTCATTTAAAAACAATTCCGAAAGAAAGGTTATGTTTGAAATATTTTGAATACCAACTCCTCAAACTCTCACAAGACTATGTCAACTCCCAGTTACATAACATGCGCCTCGACCTATTTATTTTCTAGAATAGAGATGTGCTGACCCATGTTATCACATCGAAATTCGACGTTAAATTATATTGTGATGCTTCCCTTATTAATTGAACTGCTACTGCATGTATTGATCGACCAAATATGGGAAAAATCAATACGATTCGAAGAGCCATCTAGCGGTCATCCCGAGAAGTAACCGATCCTACCATTGATATTTGCGTTTGAAAGATGACACTCCTTTTTTCGTTTGAAGTTTAGACACATACTATTCCTTATAATTTATTTGAGAAAAAACTTAGCGTCTATATACAGATATTTCATGAAAATATAATGTCAAGTTTTGGCATTTTTTTGCAAGTAGAAGCATCTGCCACTAACTGTCACACTTTGTCCTGCTGGGACATCCTTTGGGAGTTCCGATAGAATACTCTGAAAAATAAAGAAATATATTATACAAATTGTATATTTTTATATTATTCAGGTACATAACAAACTGAAAAATAATTTTATGTATGAGATCCACTCGTAAAAAAGTAGGTTGACTCTGGACTTCCCACGCAACGCCGTTATCGGTTCATAAAGAACTATGTTCAGTACAAACTTGAACCTCTGAGAAAAAACACAGTCAAACAGGTCCATGCAATTAGTCCATAGATATTCTTTCTCTGCTCTACCGGTTGCCCATTTGACAACGTCGCTTCTCCCGCATACCTAACCCAGTCAGACCCTCAGTCACAGCATAGGAAACAGTACACTATGGCGCGGGAGTAATACCAGAACACTTTCCAGAACCGGCACGTCGCCGGGATCAGAAGCAGTCCCGCAGGGGTATTATGTAAAAACCTCTACAACCTTAAAAAAACGACAAAATGTCATCTTGCAGACTAGGTAGTTTGTAGTGTCCAAATAGCTCATTCTACGTTTGCTCGCTATGATCACTGTGAGCGCCACCAAAACAGTCTGTCTATGGAGGATTGACTCAACGACACGACATGCATTGTTGTTTTTTATTTGGTTGCAAAAAGCCGAGTAGTATGTAGTGTTTATCTATGAGCAGATGTGAAAGAAAGAAAGTTGGTTGAGTAGAAAAAGATCTGGATGATTATGTGTATTGGTCTGCATGTGTATACAATCTGTGATATTCGCTGTATGAGAAAATTATTACTTACTGAATATGATGCCAATGAAGTAGCCCGACGAGTTATTTATATGTTGTCATTTATGTGATAACCTTTTTACGTTTCATAAATACTGTACCATATTTTCTCACCTGGTACTTGTAATATACTCAACCAACCAGAAGTTTTCTTTTCTTATCTCTCTCATGTTTGAAATTCAGCAAATTTGCATATGTAATTTCCAGAATGAATAAGAAAATTTCTAGCTTTGAGTACATTTTAAGTAAGTGTATTTGAGACAAGAAAACAATGGAATCATCAACATAGGTTATTCCAACGATAGTATACAACTTACAGCTTAGACCTCCAATAATGCCATCTCTGAAGCAGATGTTACATCACATCAGAGCTAAACATTGATAGCTGAAGCATCCCCCAGCAACCGTGAAGTTTACCTTTATGCTGACGATACTTCACTTGTCGCCCAGTCGTGTACTGGTGTCTGGTTCATGATGGGTTGCAGAGTGCGGTGGACGAAGTCCTAGAGTGGGCGGAACGGTGGCTGATAAAAATTAATCATTCGAAAACGCAGGCTATCTATTGTACCAAAAAACGTCGCGGCCCCCCAGAAGAGATTTCTGTAGACGGAAATCGTGTACCATGGACAAATTCTGCCAAGTATATTGGTGTCACCCTTGATAAAGGCATGACCTGGCAGAAACATACAGCATCCATAAAAACAAAATTCTAAATTGCGTTTCGGCAACTATATCCTTTGTTATGTAGATCCTCCAAATTGAGTTTGATAAACAAAGTTTGACTATATAAAATGATTATTAGACCAGCCATTACTTATGCATGTGCGGCTTGGTGTTTTCTTGCCAACACACACGCAAAGTCTTCAAGTACTGCAAAGCGGAACTTTGCGGACAATTTGCAACGCTCCATGATATGTCTCAAATGAGACATTTCACGGAGACCTTGACATTCCTTACTTGAGGGATTATGTCAAGCTTCAGGCGCAGCGACGTTATAGTCAAGGCGGAATCGCACAGCAACCCTCTGTTGCGTGACTCAGTGGAGCAAGTTCGTAAACATTCAAGGCCACAGCTCGCACTGTATTCAAAAGTTGATGCGAATTTTTAGTAAACTCAAAATTACACTCTAGCAAAACCGAATCAAAAATTTGTTTATTTCACCTCAAAATTAATCCGTGTACCAAGTCAAAAAGCCTAGGTGTTTCCTCTTAAACTAAGCACATCATGAAAAAAAAAACGATAAAATGTCAACTTGTCAACTAGATAGCTGATGGTAGTGTGCAAATAGTCCATTCCGCGCCTGATACAACTGAGCATGAAGTGAACGACAGCTAGTTCCTAGTTGACACTTTGTAGGTACGCCTGCTCAAGTTACGTAATACCCCTGCCGGCCGTTAGATACACAATCCGTCTGCTGAGAATGTCTTAGGGGATAGTGTACGGGGAACTCTATGATTGTAAGTGTGAAATAAATGTCTGATAGGTACATAGGTTGGGAGCATATAAATATCGACGTCGTTTTGACTAAAACTCGTATGTGTTTAGAAGCAGTTTTTATATAATCTTATAAAAACTCTTTTAAATCTAAAAAGTTGGTTTCGCTTCCATTCCCACCGATTTTTGGTAAATCTCTACAGAATTACTGAGGTATATTATGAAACTCTCGTATATCAGATCACGATTTGACTGTACAGGTATACAGAAAGCTCCCGATGTAGAAAAATTGTTACATAGGAGGTTTCATCATAACAACGATGATATACTGACTTCAAAAAATTGAAATATACCCTCCCCACCTCTCTACAACTCCCAAATTTTTAACCTCTAAAATTTTTTTCACGATTGATCAGGATCCTCTGAAACGTCAAAAAATCAAGTTTTAGCGATTTATTTTTTCGGTTTTGGCCTTTTTCTTTGCCACCTCTGCACCGATTTTCAAAAGTTTTTTCGTCCTTGGCATAGTAGTAGCATTGTGTAAAAATTTCATTAAAATCAGAGTGGTACATCTCAAGTTATAGGCGGTTATAGGGTTAGCGGACAGACAGACAGTCAGACGGAAATGAGTGGCGTGGTTTTTCGCGATGTACATGTCATATAACATCCAAAGAACATATTCACTCATTTTCGACCATGTTCGCGGTTACAATACTTCCCCGCCAGGAGGCATGTATTCATAAACTCAAAATAAATATTATAGGCCATAGACTAGGGAGATTTTGAATAATAAAAATTCTACAATAAGTGCAACAGAAAATGATATTTGTGATATCGTTAGAAAATAGTTTTGTAGTGATAAGTTCAAATTGGCGTAATTAGCAGACCATTTCATTATTAGTAATAATAGCTTTCGTTCGTCCGTCGGCCATCCACATGGACAGCTGTTTTGTGCTATTTGGCAACTCCCCAGCATGGTTTAGGCTTGAACTCAGGTAGGACGGCTAGGACAATGAACAAAAGCTGAGCAACTATCCTGTATCCAGAGCATAAGGTCTATCGAGAGGTCTATCTATTAGCAGAACAGGCACTGCGAGAGTAAAGACAGCAAGCTGTTTGCTGGAACTGTATCCCAATTCGCATTGTCAACCAGGCCAACACTGTGGCCGCTAGATGCTGCCGATTCTGGTGCTATAGCAGATACGGTCTACTAGCGATTGAACAAACTAGTAATATAGCTTTTGTTCATCCAACCACAGACGGCCAACTATGGACATGGTCTAGACTTGGTCTCAGATAATACAAATAACAAAAGCTGAGCAGATAATAAGCGACAATGTTCATGAAATAATTTTGTAAGCTAACACATAGGCAGAGTATATAGCGTGCAGAGCATATTGCACGAAAGTTTTGATACACATATTTAATTCTCACTCCATACTTCAGGAATCATCAAGCTGTTCAAAAAATTAAAGAGACATGTATGTATACAATTTTATTATCTATAGAAAGATCATCTATAATTTTGGGCTACTAGTATAACAGTGATATGAAAAAATGTACTTACTTGTAACCTTGACGTTAAATTTGTCATAAGCTGTTGAGATGGATAGCGAGACAACTGACTACGCGCGTTTAACAAAAGGGCGGGTATATAATGACTCCAACTTAATAATTTTCACTTGTAAGAAAAAACCTATTCCACAAATCCGAACTGCATACCTTTGGTTTATCACTAGAAGTCTTCATAAAAGCTAATATCATAGTCTCAGTGCTGTGCCCCCACAATAAAGACACTTCCATCTTATTGTTGGCATGTAAAACTAATGCGCCACCCATTTTCTGCTTCACGTCTCTCAGATGATCGGACTTCATGAATTTCTCTGTCATTGTCCTACAATTTATTCATAAGAAAAAGTACAGTTATTAATTATGATACATATTATGGAAAGAAATCAACTACATGGCGTATTTATGATCTGGACGAATGGTCGGGTGCGTATATTCGGAATCCAATGTCAAATCAATGGTAAGACCTGTATGCTTACTATAACACATATTCTATGAGAAACAAAAATCTGTGTGTATCTGTGATGTTGTTTTTGGTCAAATCGATAACGTAGATTCCGAATCCGACGTCGATTTAAAGTTAAGGTACTCAGTGCGAGGAATGTAGCGAGATGTAGCGTCAGTCAAGGGGCGTGTCTCCAGTTCCTCTTCTGGTTCCTCCAGTAAGAGTGGGAGTATGAACGTCCAAACGTCGCAACTAGGCGAGAATTTCGCGTTCTCAGACATTTTTACAACGGAAAAGAAAATCACAATCATCTGCGACAAAAGTCTAAGGGGTAGCAGCGATGAAGCCCAAAGGCGATGATCAACAGGTATATACGAGGGCTTTTTCAAGTACGAACCATTTTGTAATGGAGTCAGAGAAACTTTACGAACGTAAATCGTATCAAAAACTAAGAAAAAAACATTTTTCAATTCGTGGCACCAGCTTTTGGAGTCCGCCGTCAAAGAACGCTGCGGTCTGACTGTTAAACTGATTAGTAACTATTTCTTTCAACATGTCAGCATTTTCCATGCGCTTTCTACAAAGAAACGATGTGCCATACGATTTTCCATCGTTTTACCACGTTTTTCCACCATTGGCTTAAAAAATTGGAAATAAAAATTGTGAGCAAGTTCATTAGCCCAGATTTTCCAGATTATTTAAAACGATCATTACAAATCGTTTCTTTATCGTTTTACCACGTTTTTCTACCAAAATTTTTCATTTTTCCACCTTCAGGTTACGGGAAAAACTTCAAAAAAAAAACAATCAAGGACATGTGAAGTTAGCTCAGAATTTGTCAGATTTAAAAAAAAAATTAGCACACATGGATTTTCCATATTTTACCATGTTTTTCTAAGCATTTTTTTCAAACCTGTGACTAACAAAAAAATGTGAAATGATTTTTCAGGGTCAATTAACTTAAACCTCTCTAAGATACATGGAAATCGGTACGAATCGTTTTTCCGTCATATCACTTTGATTGTACACCAATAGTTTCCGTTTTTCCACCTTTAATTAATGGAAGAAATTGGAAATGATAAAGTAAGATCATAGGTAGATATCTCGAATTATTTCAAACAAAAAATTCCGCTTTTCCATCATTTGTTAACAAGAAAAATTGAAAGTAACAAATCAAGGTCACACGTGGATAGCCTTAATAAAACCAAACTTCTCGCAACATGTCCAGGCTACGTGGAAATTATCATAACAGCACGTAATCCAGAAGTACACGCATGGAAAAGAAAATGTCATATCCGCCAGCGCTAAAAGTTATACCTCGTATACATTTTACACGAATCAGGAAAAATGAAATGAGGCATAAGTAGTTACTGATGATTTTCTGATTTTATTATATCACTTAGAGATTCAGTGGCATTTTTTTCAAGTCATAAAATACATAAAAAATGCAATAAAGGTTTCCTATGAAATATATAAAATTATAAACTAAACTTATTGTACAAACATCGTCTCTTTCTATATGTATATTATATATTTTATGTGTGAAACATCCCTCATACGTATTATTTTTGAATTATTATCAAAAATCGGATTGTCAGATGCCTACCGCGCAAACAGACCCAGAGATTCAAAATGCCTACCGTTCAAAATAACTACCACCTGTGTTCCCTAACTTCTGATTTCAAATTTTTCTTGTTAACTAAAGGTGGAAAAACAAAAACTTGTGTTGAAAAATCAAAGTGATAGGATGGAAAAACGATCCGTACTGATTCCCACGTAGTCTGAACAAGTTTATGGAGGTTTCAGTTAATTCGGGCTATCTACACTTTTGGTGAAGAAACGTGACAAAAAACGGAAAATTGTATGGCACAACGTTTTTTAACAGCCGAGATTTTTCTGGGCTAACTTCATGGACCTTTGAATGGTGGATGATCCAATAATTCCCAACAAATAAACTGCGTCTATATTGCCGAGCGTTGCCGTGAAGTACAATAACGCCGCTAAAGAACAGACCCCGTCGGAGGTTTTGCGGTACGCCTAAGCTTTAATGATATCAACATTTATAGCAAGACGAACTTTTTTGCGTTTAAAAACCGAATTACTGAGCGTTCTTCAAAATCGGCACATTTACTTAGTGGCGTGGCGACAAACAAAGCAGTATATCCTTGCCACCGACAGAGGCGTGAAATGTAATGGCGTCGTAGTGAAAGAATGGTCAAGAGTGTCTGCGGTTGAGCAGACGCGCGAAATAAGATGCGCAGACACGATGCAAAATCGGTTCTTACTTTAAAAATGGCCATCGTAGTCTTAATTCGTTGACGCCACTACCGTACATATGCTTAATTTGGCGCAGGCTCGGCTTTTACTTCGACTGGGTATCTTCTTGTGGAATATGCTAATTATACAGGGTGACTTGTAATGTCACGTATTCCTGTTAAGGGGTGATAGATTAGGTCAAAAGCAACCGATTTTGTCCTATAATATCCTATACAGAAGTTAACCGTTTTTGAGTTATTTGAATATTATGTTTTTTATTTTTTATTCCGATTTCAGACGGTTAAAATTGAAATACAAAAAAACTGCATGCTTGAATTTGAGTTTTTTGTTATCGTTGCATAGCAGACATTCCAATAGTTCATAACAAGTAATAAAATGTTGAAAAGCTACAAACGTTATAAAATTACGCTTTTTAAATGTATCATTTTCTTTTTTTTTACTAACTTATTCGATAAAAAATTCAATTTTCTGTAAAAAAATCTAGTAATGAAATGTGCAAATTATGTAAATAATATATCCCTATCTAACAAGATTTCATTTGAGGTATTAAGCTTTCAATTATCTGAAGTACATGCAGAGAAACAACAATGACTCTCACCGAGGCTGGATTTTTAAGGAATTTGTATTACCTGTTTGAACAAGTCGTTACTGTCCTCAAAGGACTCGCATGCCATGATCGTTTTATGGCATCGGCTCGACCAGGAAGCGAGCGAGAAGAGCTGAGTTAGTGGAGGAGTGAGATAGAGAGAGCTGTTATTATTCATCATTGTAGTTACGCCATTGCCGCACACCGAGTGAGAATTAGGTTTAGTTGGTATCAACTACTGCGTACGCGCACACGTTTTACGCACGATTATTATTTTCGAGTTTCCAAGTTCATTTCGAGTAGTTTCTTTATCATCATGGCAGACGCAGAAGATCCGCCAGGACCTCGCCTTAGCGAGCACGGGCAAACTTTTACAAATGAAGAATACGCAGACATAATGTTCTGTTATGGAGTTTGTAACGGCGATTCTGCAGATGCCCGCCGTGAATATCGGCAACGTTTCCCGAATCGCCGAACACCTCATGTTACTGTGTTTGACTCTGTGTATCGGCGCATCCGCCAAACCGGACATGTTCAAAGGCAACATAGTGATGCTGGTCGATCCGGAGTCTATCCTCCTGAAGATGAAGAGGAAATCCTTCGTGTGTTTCAGGAAGACCCTACTACGTCTACGCGCATTGTGGCTGCTCAGTTGGGTATATCACAATACAAAGTATGGTTTACTGTACATACTGCACTACACGCCTGTGCATGTGATTGAAGAGGGCGATCCTGCACGACGATTAGATTTCTGCAGGTACATGTTACATGCAGATACAGAAGATCCAGACTATTTTAAGAAAATTTTGTGGACCGATGAATCGAAGTTTGATAAGGACGGGATCACTAACTACCATAATACTCATTACTGGGCTGATAAAGAAGACCTGGGACCTCGGTTGGCCGCGTGGGTCAGAGTGTCGTGCTACTGATCAGCCGGCCGGCCGGGCCGCGAGTTCGAATCTCGCCTTCGCCATGGATGTTGTGTGTTTGTTTTTAGGCAGCAGCGGTGACCGCAGTAGTAGACTCTTCGGTCTCCTGATCAGTCGCCGTGCGCTGTGCGGGTTCGAGTCCCGTCCCAGGAGAAATGTTTCTCTTGGCTATGGATGTTGTGATTGTCCGTAGGTGGTAGATGGTCTCTGACTGTCGAACGCGGAGGTACCACCCGGCGGTTCTCGTAGGCGGAGCCAGAATGTGTGCATGTTGCATGCACACGTGTTCCCTCGCCAGAGTCCGTGTGGCGTCCCCCCTTTCCCATGTATCCCCCTATAGCCCCACGGTACCCAATAGGTGCTTAGGCCTTAGGCCTTCGTGGTAGTTGGAGTATAAAAAAAAAATTTAAACCTCCGAAAAATAAGACCGACGGGGTCTCAGAGCCGGTTTTCAGTCAATGTGTGGATGAGCATCATTGATGGATATTTAAATGGAACTCATTTTCTGCCCGCCAATTTAAATGGAGAAGTCTATGAAGAGTTTTTGAAAAATCACTTGTTTCCATTAATGGAAGACGTCCCATTGGCGACGAGACAAAATATGCGGTTCCAGCACGACGGCTGTCCCGCACACTACAGTAGATTAGTACGGGCGTATTTAGATTCTAAATTTCCAAATCAATGGATTGGCCGAGGCGGGCCCTTTGCCTGGCCAGCAAGAAGCCCAGATCTCACACCGATGGATTACTAAGTGTGGGGACACATGAAAAGCCTGGTTACGATGTTTCGCCCGTACCAACGCGCGATGAATTAAATACAAGGTGCAGATGACCAAATAAAAAGCCGCTTAAACTAGAGTTACCAAAAGTGAATTACGTAAGAGAATGCGGGCGTGTATTCGTAACAGGGGATTACAATTTAAGCAGAATCTGCAAAATACTAAAGGAAATGTAATTAAATAAAACTGTAATTAAAATAAAAGCCTTTTATTTATCCTACGTAATTATCGTTCGTACAACTTTACTCACCTTTTTTCAATTTTATGACTTTGTACTTGAGTTAGTTGTAACTTTTATACCTCAAATGAAAGCTTGTTAGATAGAAATATTATTTACATAATTTGCACATTTCATTACTAGGAGATTTTTTACAGAAAATTGCATTTTTTATCGAATAAGTTAGTAAAAAAATAAGAAAATCATACATTTCAAAAGCGTAATTTTAAAACTTTTGTAAGTTTTCAACATTTTATTACGTATTATGAACTATTGGAATGTCTGCTATGCGACGATAACAAAAAACTCAAAATCAAACTTAAAATTCAAATAACTCAAAAACGCTTAACTTCTGGATATGACGTTATAGGACAAAATCGGTTGGTTTTGACCTAATCTATCACCCCTTAACAGGAATACGTGACATTACAAGTCACCCTGTATAATATTGTTTTTGTCTGGCGTTAAAACAGATTCTTACAGAACACATAAGTGATCACCGATAGAACAAAAACAGACGGAAATAATGTAGGTACTCATTCAATAAATTAAAAGTTCCTTGGATATCCCCATGACCCTAGGTAAAATAATCGGCGAAAATTATCCTTGGTACTAGTAGAGACAGATCCCTATATCAGACAGACAGATCTCTGGTGACGGACTCGTGAGGGCAATTGGCACGCGGCCGGCGCCTCTCTTTAGCACAGGTGGATGGGGAGTAGGCTAGACAGTCCATTTCAACTTTGAGCGGTTCGTTAGAAAAGGCATAAAATGCTTTTTGCGTTTACAAGATTTTCAAGTTCAGGTTACAGGTTTTTTTTTGTGATGACGCCTAATTATTCAACTGTTTACTGGATTAGTTATAATTGTTGCATACAGTTTTATCAATTAAAAGATTTTTGAATTTGCAGTTATCTTTGAGATACAGCATCAAGATTATTACATCTCAAGGAATTCGACGCTCAAAAGAATAGTTTTCTCCTTTTATCAGTAGCAAGCTTGGTTCTTTAACCGCACAAGTTACAAGGTTGTGTCGGGTGACCCAATAATAAAGGACTGCGAGTATATTTAAGCAATGGCTTAACCTAGAGCCATCTGTTAAAAAATTACATAACAAAAGTGGCCGAGGGAAATTTTTGAAAATTATTTTTAACTTCCTAAAATGGCCGCTAGGGGGCGTATTTCCAATTTCAAAACTTCAAACGCCGTTATCTTTTATAACTATTCATAGCTTGAATTCGTCTCTTTACCCAGTAGTACTTAAAAATTGTAATTCAAGCATACTTATTTTTCATTATATCTCCATAACGAATTTAGATATTGATCTGCAGTTTTCGCTATTTTATAAGATTTTTATGCTCTTGCCGAGCCATATTAAAAAAGCATATGGATGTATCTGAAATTTTCGAAAAATATAGTAACACATCCATAAAACACTATCTAATTTAACAAGATTGAGTACTGAGTAGGAGCGCAGGCGCAAGCTCTTTGGATTTGGAATGAAACCAAAATCGTGTAAGTTGGTGCAACCAAACAGAAGTTATATTACTTTTTCTGAAATTTCATCCATCCTAAACGACACAAAATATGGGAAAATGACATTGAGAAAAAAAAATCGAAAATTGAGCAAATCAGTATAATTGGTTATTAAAACAGTACGTTAATTTCGCATTTTTTGCAAAATAATGGCGTTTGAATTTATGGAATTGAAAATACTCCCCCTAGCGGCCGGTTTAGGAAGCTCAACATATTTTCCCGCAATTTCCTTGAATATTTTCGTTATGAAATTTTCTAACGGATGGCTCTAGGTAAAGCCGTTGCTGAAATATAGCCGACTTCCTTATTTATTGGTTCACCCGATACAATTTTGAATTTCATGTGTTTTTTGAAAAAATCAAAAAGCGATTCTTTACATCCAGCGTCTTACTTCCATATGCTAAAATTTCTTGCTTGCATTTCTAAAAATGAACGAGTTATGCAAGAACTAAATATGCATGTTTTACATATGATGTTTTTTCTAGCCCACCGGTAATGTTTGACATTTTCGACCTATTTTCATGTAGTGCTATCAGATTACCAAATTATTGGAATCTCTACCATAGTTTGGTATCTTTTGATGACCACACTCAAATACATATAGTATTTTATTATACCAAATGGTGCTGAATGAAACTATTTGGAATACTCATATGGCGGTTATGTAATTGTTTCATCTTAATATTATTTCTGGAGATACTTTGACATACCTGTTCAAATCTGATGGAGGAAAAGATCCATTCTTGACATCATTTGCTATTTCTCTAGCTAGTTGTGTCTGTATTAAATGTTCCCCACAGCCTGTGGTACTCACTGCTACTGAGGAAGCACCACTTTTGTCCAAACTATCTGCCCAAATGCCACTACCATATAAGGCTGCTTGGCCTACTCTACCAGGTACTTTCAGGATTAGTCCACCTAGGAAAAAATAAAAACTGATGTTAGTGACTGTTTAGGATTAAGGATGTACAGTACTTTTCACGAGTATCCATCACGGAAGAATAACAGCTGATTATCTAGTACTATTTCAAAACTCCCCATTTTAACAAGTGAAACATAATTAATTTTTATGGATCCGTCAATGCCAAGTAGACAGATTCGTATTTTGTTGTGGTTTTTTGTACGCTACATATTCATTTATTGCGCTGTTAACGGTGGTACCAGAAATCATAGGATAGAGTGTTATTTGAGTTGCTTTCCAGTGGTTTTTGGTTTGACATCGATATGCTCCGGTACTTCTCCAGAAACAATGCATGGGCATACAACATCATGTACTGAAACGGTTTTATTTCTGAGCCCTACTGATTTAATTTCAGTTACTCCGATCTGGTATAGTTTGTGTGAATCAATAATAAAAAGGAACATGTTTGTCCAAAATGAAGCGACTATTTATTTAAGAAAAAGTTTTAGAATCAACTTGTATTGGTGGAAGTATTTACAATAAAATTTTTCCATGCATCCTTTGCTGCTGCGATATTCTCAATTCGTTCCATTTTCTATGCAAACACTGTTAAAACACTGCAATCAACCCTGACACTTCTGAAGACCACAATTTTTGAAAGAGTTTGTTTAGAATGAAAAACTATTCATGCAAAATAGTTCAGTTTTACTGATGAATAATGTTTCTTATATCTCTCATTTAAATGTTAATATGCTTTCGCTTTAGAATATGTACATAGCAAAAGTGCATATTTTTCCGTTTATTGTAAATACTTCTACCACTAAAACTTTATTTTTTTAATAAACAAATAATCCTCCGTCGCTTCTTTTTAGACAAAAATACTCTTTTTTATTAACTACACTAGGTCATATCGAAATATTATCATATTACGATTGTAAAGAATATATGCGGCCGCTGGCATGATACGTTGGAACACCGGCTGCTGCTGAACACTACTCGTATTTATAAAACCTCTCATTGTTGTACTAGAAGAATTCACATGCAATTTTCTCCGCCGAAATGGACAGGAGATTTTTTTAGCTGATTATTATCTAAGCTATGTCTGTACTTCGTATATTTTATTGTCAAAACTCCCAGTCACTTAAAAGTATAATCCAGATATGTAAACAACAGCTCAGAAATTTATTATTGCCAGTGTAATAGGCTAATACAAAGATGTTGCTTTTGGGATCAGATGTTCCCCTAAGTAGACGTCAAAATGTAATCGATAGACATGCTCATAAAATAGCATACTTAAAAATGGCATGCTCTTCAAACTTATATATTTGCTTGTGCTTAGCATGCTTGTTGAAAACCAGTTCTTCTCAATTTTGCTCAAAGCAAATGGTCTGGACTCATATGCTATTAAATATCAAGCTCTGTCATTCAGGCAGTAAAAAATGGAAAACCAAGCGACCCTCTCAACAAAATTGAGAAAAGTCATCGTGATAATTGTAATACAGTGCATCCAAAAACTGTTATTATCAAGAAAGAAAAAAAGGAGGAATAGGATGATTTGGGTTCTTGATTGGCTAACTAGAAGAGAAAACCTTGGAGCAAATACTTGATTGCTACTAGAAATGCGAGAAGACATTGATGGCTACAAAAATCATTTGCGCATGCTTCCGCATCAGTTTGACAAGTTACTCTCTAGCTCTGCCCTGCAAGCAACTGATGGATACTAGCATGCTCAATAAGCAAACAGATACTGCTAAGTAGCAATTGCTTATTAGTAGCATGCTTTTGTGTCAGATTTGAGCATTTCTATCTGTACCTTCAAGATCAGCTAGGCTACAGCAAGAAAAAAATAAAACAAAACAACTAGAAAATTTGTTTATCTCAAATTTGTCCACATTGGCCATCTATGATTACAATCGACCCATTTTCTACCCCAAAGTTGGCCTCACAACAGTTCACAAATATTTTATTACCGTCATATTTGCACTCAGTAACCCAAATTACCTATTTTTCCATCTTATCGTTTTTAGATTTACCTGAACTACATGCAGATGCAACATGGCCAGAGTCATCAATACAAACTGCACCAACAGTGTCCAGTAATTCACATTGTTTTACCTCCAAAAGTTGCTTGTATTTTTCAAACTGTCTTCTAGCTTTTTCACTAATCAGCTTTTTACTATTTACAACTTTTAAGCCGTTACTCCTAAAAATTTGATTAATTCTTACATTTTTACAAAACTCATTATAGGAACAAACATTTCTTCGTAGTCACTTCTATAATAGTGGAGAATTATTTTGTAAGATGGCATCCAGTCGGTTGACTCCCATTTACTTAAAGCTAAAGAGTGATCTTGTAAATAAGTTTTTTTAATTCTGCCAAAGTTTTGTATATGTCTGCGAAAGGTTGGGAAATCTCGAAACTGGAGATACTGCAGACCAAAATATGTGAATTGACCTAAACAAACCTTAGTCCAAAAGTTGATAGTTTGCGAGATACAGGGCATCAAAGTTACAATTTTATTTTCTATTTTTCCTTATTGCATGAGAAGTATTTCAGATTTTGGCAGTAACGAAGTTAATATGGTTCTTATGGTGTTTGACTGAAATTGTTCAGTCACTACAGGGAATGACTAAAATCCTTAGTCAAACGTTGTAATAATCAAACTGTTACAGTGTTTGCCGGCAATACGGAGTCTGACTACGGAATGACGGATTTCAGCCTTTGATGCCGGCATATATATATATAAGGGGGTATCAATAAGAATGCAATATTTGAATTTAGCGCCATTTTGGCAGTCGTAATGTCATAATGATTGTGACATGACAGATGGATAGTAGAGAGGCATGAAAATGAATCATTACACAATAGAACAGCAATTGTTAAAAATTATTACCAAAGTGGTAAAAGTTTCATTCTTCATTGCCATGATTCGAAAAGTGCAGCTAATAATACCACATCCACTGTGAAAAGAATAATTTAAGAATTTTAAAGTACTGGTTCTGTTAATGATGTGAAACATACGAGACGAGCTCGCAGCGGTCGTTCAGAAGAAAATGTCAGAGCAGTTCGCGAAAATGTAGCTGAGAGTTCAGGGACGTCGATTCGTCATCGCGCTCAAGACTTGGACATTAAAACAGCCACTCTCTGAGGACGAGGCGGGTAATACACTAACAGTGAATGGCGAATGTTATCGTGCAATGATTACTCAGTTTTTTGTGTCACAATTAGAAGTCATGGCTCTCAATGACATATGGTTTCAGCAGGATGGTGCCACAACAAATACTGCTTATGAAACATTGGCCGTTTTGCACGAGTTTTGCTCCTGGTCAAGTCATCTCCTGGTTTGGTGACTAGAATTGGCTGCCATTCTCTTGCGATTTAACACCTTTGAACTTTTGGGTTTGGGGTTATCTGAAGTCACAAGTTTATGCCAACAACCCTGCAACCACATGACATGTGTTCAAAAATGTTACCACAAACTTTATTGAAAGAGTGTGCATGTGCCAGCCATTTACCTGATATGTTGTTTCATACATAATCCAATAAATGTTACAGTTGTTTGTTATGAAATACCATGTTTAATAGAACCTTGAAATATTGCATCCTTATTGAAACACCCTTCATATGAGATTCTTCAAACTGGATTTCAAGTAATATGTTGTGACTAAGCATAATTCTCACCTAGCATATTTTAAGCCACCAGACCCTACAAGTAAAGTTGGAGGTACCAATCCTAATGGTAGAGGTTCAGATTGTTTAACACATATCATATGAGCTAAAGAAATAGGATTTTTAACCTTCTTTACTGCTCCACATCCTCCAAAAGTCAGTGTTTTACCATCCATAATAGAGGCATCACACTCCACTTCTGCATCAGTTGTTAAATTGGATCCAAAACCAGCATTTGTTAGGGGATCATCCTCCAAAACTGAATAAAGCACAAGAATTAATGAATCTTCTGAAACTCATCATACAGTTTTCTTGCATAATAAAACCACACACAGAATGGAGATATTTAGGTACTATCACTGTACTTTGGAAAATGCTACCAAGGTAGTTAAAGCATAAATGGATATTTTAGTTCTGCATACAAGCTTTTATTTAGTAGCTAATAAAACATGGAGATCCACCAGAAAAAATTGTCACTGTATTGCTGGATAACAGACAAAAATACTGAAATAAAAAAATCTTAGGCTTGGGCTAGAATTGTTTACCTTTTTTAACGTAAAATATTTGTGAGAGATGCAATCTTAGAAAAATGCAAAGAGAGAGTCTTATTTGAGCATCAATATCACCAACCACCAGTCTAGCCCCCTTAAATGAAAATGTGCACTTATAGAGAAAGCTTTACCTATGACTGCAGCTTTTACGGCGTCTACAGCGCTACCTCCATTTTTTAAAACATCTACACCAGCTTTACATGCTGTTTTACAAACGTTTTTGTAATTATGGTGGAATTTTTGACTATGAAATCCAGCTCCTGAAAACAATACTTTCGTTGAATTTTTGGCTACGAACATGAGAAATCTAACACTACCGCAATGTACAGCTATTATTCCAGGCATACTAATGGTTACTATCAGTTATTCAATATGGTTTTATTTGAAAATTATTCTGAAAACACTATTATGAATTTCATTCATCTTCTTTTATTTGTTTTTATTATGGGTTAATAACATAATAATAACCTATAACCTAATTTTCCAGTTGTCCAAATCTCAAATTAAATCTTTTTCCCATCTTTAGGATTTTAGTATGTATTGGAAAAGAGGCGTTCACGATATTCTCAAAGGAGGGAGCTAATTGAGTCGCGCCCTACTTCCACTACTGAACAGGAGGCCTTTTCTAGAAGAGCTTACAATTCTGTGGTTACATGATGACATTGTCGACCACTCCTCTTTTCTTTAAGATGATGGTTAGTGGGGCTTTCTATCTCTGTCCTTGGCGTTCTTTGTTGTATTGATGCGTATTACTAACAGAGAGTTGCCAAATAAACATTTTAAAGGCTAGATTTGATACTAGTTTGTGTTTGTGGTGCTATTTGGTAGTGAAATTATTGTTTTCTGTTGGAAAAAGTCAAAATCTAATACAGTCTCTTCAGGATTCTTGTTAATGTGAATTGCAATTTTGCTTCAACGCCGAGGATTGGGTTTGAATTTGGAATCGTCTTTAGGGTAAAGACAGACAGCGGTTTTAACTGAAGCGTTTATCGAGTTGGTGCCCGAGTCGTTATGTCGTGTAATATATCATTAATAGTACAAAATACATACAGGGGTGCCACACGTGTCAGTTCATGCGAAGGTTTTAAAACAGCTTCGGTAGGTAGTTGATCTCAGGGATCGAGTCGGTTTAATTTATGTGACGCGTCTTTAGATAGCTTTGTTCAGACAGTCACGTTTTTGACTCGTTTTGTATAGAAATGGCTGGAAAAAAAGTTATATTGAAAAGCTAATTCGCGAAGTAGAAAATCGACCGACTTTGGGTTATGAGGAAAAATGAATACAGCGATAGAGTTATGAGAAGAAAATGTTGGGAGGAAACAGTACATTTGTTTGCTAAAGAAAACAGCACAATTGACGAAAAGCAGCATTATAATAAGAACAAATTAACAACATTTTGCATTTGCAATCTTTATTATTTAAACGAATTTTTCTTTCACAATTGAGCATATTTATCTCTAGCAGATAATGCTAATGAATTCTATCTGTGGGTTGTATCTGACGCTAGACCATCACGATCGATATCCTCGACTAACTTCTCGTCATTCGACAGAATACCGTATCTTGTCCTAATAAAATTGTGTAACACATAAGCAGCTTCAACTAGAGTTACAATTACATCAATATCAAGGTCAATAGCCCGATGAACTATACGCCATTTGTTGGTTAGAATAGCAAAAGAGCACTCAAAATATCTTCTGGCTCGGGTTAATCTAGCATTGAAAGCTTCTTTTAAAGGTGTCAGTTGTTTACTTCCATAAGGCGACAGAAGGGTATTTTTCGTTCATTTCCTCAATAGCACATATGGTTCAGGGGCTCCCAAAGTACCATCACAGAACCGTTCATAAAGTTTTGAATTTTTAAATATGCCAGCATTACTTGATTTACCATATATGCTCCTACTTCAATATTCGTGAAGCAATAATAATTGTCATCGCACATCGCAAACAGTAGAATAGTGATGTTTAAAATTGTAGTACGTAGACTCACTATTGAGTGGTCGGTACATATGTTTCCCGTCTATTGCTCCTATACAGTTAGGAAACAGTGCACATGTTTGAAACCCTTTAGCAATTTCGATCTACTTCTCTGTTGAACTTTATCTGCTAGTTCAATAAATATTGCTTCACATACTTCTGGGATTATGTTACCAGCAGTAGATCAATTAATACGAAAATTATAATGTAATTCGGCCAAGGAGCAACCCTTAGCCAAATATCTCAAATAAAAACTGCAGTTGATTAAAACGTATTGTATGTAATTCTAATTTTATTATAGGTAATTAGTTACATAAAAAGTGGAAAAACATCCGATATTTAACACAGAAAAGGAAAGTCAGGGGCTGAAGCTCATCGGAAAGCTCCTTACGTTCGTACACCAAGGTTACAATTTCTCAGTGATGTAATAGCGCCCAAACATAACTCAACAGTTCTTTGGAGCCTACTAAAACTCCTAATGATGAATCTTCACACGAATTCAATAAAAATAGTTCTTAAACAAAAACATTTCAGAACGGGCAAAAAAAGAATGCACCCGGTGGAAGAGAAACTTTTAAATTCACTTAAGAGCTACGAAAAGAGAGCAAACATGATTTTGATTGAAGATGTCAACCACTACTTCGCCCTTCCTTTGGTACCTTCACTTATCTCACTGCCAAGGCATTTAACCGCAAAATGCAGGATTGACATCATGCAGACTATTTTGAAATATGCAAGCAGGTCCCAGTCAAATCAGACAGCACATTTACGACCTCATCCACATCAGCAGACTTATTATATTATATTATATCATATTCACAACAACAGTATGAAGTATCTCATCATCTCTAAATGACCTTTTCGTTGTCTTTCTGCAATGATTGGATGTATTCAGATTCTTATATTTTCTTTTTTCTCTTTACTAATTTTCCAGCACAAATACAGTAACGAAAAATACAATACGTCATTCATTATGCAAATCGAACCGATTACTGCAAAAACAGCTTAAGAAACAGCTCAGTGTGGATTAATTAGAACGCGACCGATTCGTTAAACGGTTCAGTTAAAACCGGTGAGTCTGTCCTTACCCTTATATGGATCTCAGGTTTTGGGATGAAGAATAAGTGGCATCATCGCAAAGCTGGATAAATCGATTTGAAAGACGGCGATCCACGATTTGTGAATTTCGTGAGCAGCCATTTTCGTGGAGTTTTAGAAGAACATTTCCGGAGAGCCAACAGGTATATTGCACATTAAACCAAAACCTTTGTAATGATAGTCGTAAGTCAGCGATTTCCGATATTATCCTTAAGCAGACTTCGAATATCTTACGTGCAAAACGGCGTACATTGTAATGTCAACGACGTCACTTTGTTTCCCATTGATTACCTAACACCACAAAAACTTTGGGCAGCAAAATTGAATTGTGCATTTCGATAGTTAAGTAGCCAGATCGGAATGTTTCCAGAAAGTTTCGTAGCTATCCTCGAGAATGCATTTAACTATACCTACAAGTTCTCTTGTAGGTCTCGTCAGATCCTTCACAGATGAACAGGGTCGTGGACCTGCCACCTCCTCCTGGGACAGAGGACGAATTCATACCTCCTGTCACAGTGAAACCCCCAGAGCAAGATGAAACACAGCCAGAGCCTGCAGAGTCTCCAAAAGAGCCAAGTAAGTACATCCACAGCCTGGGCAAGTCTGAAAGAGACAGTGATGTAACCTCTAGAGATAGAGACAGGGATATAACCTCTAAGGATCGAGACAAGGATGTAATTTCCAGAGATAGAGACAAGGTTGTAATCTCCAGAGATCGAGACAGGGACATAACATCTAGTGATAGAGACAGAGATGTAGGCTCTTCATCATCATATAGTTGCAAACGTTCTCCAGACAGATATAGGCATCGCTCCAGATCGCGTAGCTATTCTAGGGGAAGAGATAGACGATATCGCAGATATTCTAGATCCAGATCTAAAAGCCGTTCTCGTAGGCGATCTAGATCTAGACACCAACGCAGACGTCGCTGCAGTTTTTCACGAAGCCGTAGTAGAAGTTACAGTAGAAGGAGGCATGGAAGGTATAAGCGCAGATATTCCAGATCGGCTTCTTCCTCCAGATCAAGGTCTCCATCTAGAACTAGGAGCCATCGAAGTAAGAGACCAAGGTCTAGAACTAGAACACATTCAAAATCCATATCTAGAGCAAGGTCAAGCTCAAAGTCTAGGTCTAGTTCTAGATCCACATCTCATAAAGAGGACCTTAAAAGGTCTCCAAGATCTGATGTAGATATGAAAGAGGTAGATATGAAAATTGATGAAGAGGAGGAAGAAGTACCAACAAAAGAAGTACTGTTCAAAAATGATGGTTCATTCTTAGAAATGTTCAAAAAGATGCAGGAGCAGCAGAAAAAGCAACAGGAAGAAGAAGAACAGAAAAAGAAACCTGTGCTGCCTGCTTTTGGCAAACGTAGGGGTGGTAAAGTGTTGAAAACAGGTTTGGTAGAGAAGAAAAGAACCATGAATGAAGAAGAGGCCAGTGCACAGGATGCATGGTCAATTTACATGAAAGAAGTGAGAAGGTACAAAGAAGCTTGTTGTGATGATGACTCAAAAACTAGGCCATTGGTGAAATAACATGATTTAGGACTTTTTTTTTATAAGTTAGACTGTTCAAAAATTAATTATGTTATTTCAGGATAAATAAAAGGAAAAATTATTATCTGTAGCTTAAAAATAAGAGCAATATGTACATACTCAGCATTTTATAACATGCTTCAATCATGTTATCAAACAGAAGAGCTAATCTAACTGGTAAGGAATTCAGGAATCAAGTTTTCAATGGGAAAATGATACTTGCACTGTAATTCTAAAAATTTGTACTAGTCATATATCATGTGTATTATTCATATACCTAATGATTTATTTGTGTATGATTGTTGTTTTAACTATTTTTACATTATCTGATTTGTGATTGATTTTTGAACAGTTTTGGATGTATCTATTGTATTAGATACAAATCAGTTGAAAGTCATATATCTTTGCTTATTTTAATAAACTGCAAAGTTCAAATAGTGGAAGTTTAGGATTAGGTATTGATGGTTTCTGCCTTTTGACTATCTGAAGGGGATTTCATGTTTACCTTAATTCTATCTTGTGACATTTTATGTTGATGCTAAATAGTAAATACCTGGACATATATTCAGTCTGACCTCAAAATAAGTTTTAAGGTCAATGCAAAATCCACAGTGTATCGTTATATACCAGAAGTAGAAAAAATTGTATCTTATTGGATTTCTGTATATCATGTATATTCGAAATATTTCTCATAGTACATAAGACAATTATAAATGTTATTTGAGCATAATGTTGTATTTTGAAGTTCTAGAACCATTTGCCTAATACCAAGAAACGGATGTTTCAAAATGTAATTTTTATATTGATTTTTCATAGAACCTAGTTTTTAGTTTTTTTTTATAATTCAAGCTACAGATATTGATATTGCAATATGTTTTTCATTGAATGGTTATATTAATATCACGTTAATTTTTATATAAATGTTCTCTGAATGCTATTCGCATTGTATTTATTATTGTAGTAACATAAAAATTGTTTAGATTTAAAAAGTTCATCATTGACATTCACTTTTTGATTACAGTCCTATACTTCTTCTTAGGTTACTGTTACATGGTAGTTGAAATAAATACATTCATCGAATTTGTCTTGCTTATTGATTTCATTCTTAACTATATTGTAAGATTCAAATATAAGCTATAAGTGTTATGCTTCTCTGCCCCCTTGTTGTTTAAAAAAACAGACACACGTAAGATATTCGGTAGTCTCAACAATATCCGGTTGTGCTATGTTCTACCCTGCTTGGCGGTAACGCCGCATCTACAAAAAACAAAAAATATAGAGGAAAACGTGTTTCCCTTAGCCATAAGAAAGTTCAATTATTTTTCCTGCTTTATATTGTAACCAATTAGAAAAATATATTTGTACAAAATTGTAGGAAACATCACTAGTTCTGTTTTTGTCAGATACTGCATTTTTCCTCAGCAAGAAGTATATCACCAGTTGCTGAAGAATAATGCGGTACAGCGTCTTTGCTAAGTATATTCCAATAATTTGTGATTGATACAATTATAATTTCTATACATTAAAAAATCCTATTTATTTTTGCAAAGTAACATCAAAAATACATAATATGCACTTAACCCAGATATGCCTAGTGTACAGTTTATGGTACACCGTAAACAAGTCGCGACTTGCAACGACCTGTGCTTATTTTGACGCGGTAATAGCACAGATGTATTCAGTAAGCCTTAGTAAATCGTAACGTGCGGTTGGGTGTTATCGTTGTATTGAGATTTTTTTGCGATTTTGTGAAGTTTTTATTTTTTGTGATATGGCTGAATATAGAATACGATTTGCCAAGTAAGTAAATATATGGTCTTTACGTAAATAAATAAAATGTTTTGATTGCTTCTACCAATAAAACTCACATGCTTTTTTCCAGTTATAATGCCAAATTACTTATGTTATTATTTCGGATTCACAATTGCGTCATTATATTTGAGTGTGCAAAATATTGTATATTTTTAGGGGCTTTTCTCTGGAGGAAGCCCTTGCTATGCTGGAGGATAATGAAGATGTAGTAGCAAATGTGGATAATATCACATTGATGCCTTCAATCAGAGCTTGTGACATTCTCACAGACGAGGAGTCCGGCGATGAGAATGTAATGTCAGCTGATAATCTACCGGGTTCACAATTACAAGCACCTGCTGAGATAAACATACCTCATGAAAAATTTAGCATAACTTCATCTGATTCCGAAGATAATATTCCATTGTCTGAATTGGCTAAAAAATAAAAAGCTAAAGAAACGAAAAACGTACAAATGGGTGAAGGAGGATCTACCACAGAAGTTCCAGGATACTTCGAAGAAATTCTTGAACAAAATAATTCTTCTAAGACTCCACTTGAATGTTTTTGACTTTTTTTGACAACGAACTTATAACATGCATAACAACTGAAACAAATAGATATGCCAGGCAAAAGAATCGCCAACAAGAGATGCAAGAGTATGAAATAAGGGCATTTATTGGAACACTAATATTGAGTGGTTATGTCGATGTATCACGTAGAAGAATGTTCTCGGCAGGTGAAAGAGATGCTAATAATCAACTGGTCACAGAAGCGCTTACACGAGATAAATTTGAGTATATTATGTCAAATTTCCATTTAGTAGATAACTACAATTTACAGCAAGGAGATGAGTTTGCAAAAGTTAGACCTTTATTTGCGAGCCTGAATCAAAAATGTATGGAACATTGAATTTTTACAGAAATGCATAGTGTAGATGAGGCAACGGTTCCTTATTTTGGGGGACACTCGTGCAAACAGTTCATTCACGGAAAACCTATACGATACGGCTATAAATTATGGGTTGGCGCATCAAGACTAGGCTACGTTTACGGGGTTGAACCTTACCAAGGGTCATCACCCAACATTAGTAAGAATTATGCAGATTTGGGGGTTGGTGCTGGTGTGGTATTAGAGTATTCTGATGCAGTGAGGAGAAAATGGCCAAATGAAAAATTTCATTTAGTTTTCGACAATTTTTTCACTTCTCTCCCTCTTATGGTAAAATTGACAGAAAAAATTTCTTTGTGACTGCTACTGCTAGAGAAAATCGTTTACAAGGCGTCCAATTCAGAGATTCTAAAATTATGAAAAGGGAAAAAAGAGGTAGTTACGATTACAACAAAATTTCCGATACATAAAACATAATTGCAGTAAAATAGCATGACAATAATTTAGTAACACTATGTTCAAATGCCGCAGGATTGCAACCAATTCGCTTTGTAAAGCGATACTCTCAAAAGGATAAAACAGTATTCAGGTAAGAAACACAATCTGCAAGAAAATCAATGTTTTCAAAAATGCTTTTGATTTTAGGTAGAACAGCCTCATCTTGTATATGTATTCAACGCAAATATGGGCGGCGTTGATCCTTGTGATCAAAATATTGGTCTGTATCGCATTTTCATCCGGGGTAAAAAGTGGTATTTTTCATTGATCAGCCACTGTATTGATATGGCTGTTCATAATTCCTGGCAACTTTATAGATCGCATGGAGGACATGGATCAATTATTATTCAGATGACGGCTTGCCACAGCCTTGTTACAACAAAACAAGAAACCGCCATCTTTTTCTAGAGGACGTCCTTCGGCTAATGAATGTATAGATATTCTTTATGATCGTTTAGATCATTTTGTGATACCACAAGAAAAGCCAACTAGATATGGCTTATGTCATGATAGAGCAAAACAAGGTGCTCTAAGTGCAATGTAGGGATGCATGTAAATGTTTTTTGTCCTTCCATACTAAACCTTAATGCTCGCCTATGTGCCTAGTGTACCATATTTTGTACGGCATTTTTTTACACTTTTTTCTAAAATAAAATTTAAAAAATAATAAATTTGTTTAATATATGCTTCATATAGAATGAATTTGCAGAGAACATACTTTATTATAATTTATTTGAGCTGTAGGCATATCTGGGTTAATAAAAATCAATCACTTCTATACTCCATTCTTAGTCCATTTACGCTCAGACAAAACAACATGCTCAAAAGCGAGATTGTAGATGTCTGTATTTTCCGCAATGGACTTGGAATAATCTAACAAAATAAATGATTATTTGTATAGAAAGAAGTGCACATAATTTTCACAATTCTTTATTCGCTGGAAGTACTTGAATCATCGTCTGAATGTTTAATATTAAATATTACAGGTTCAATTTGAATATCGATCATATTGTCCAGATCCCACATCTTTGTTTCGATTGTCTCGTGTACGTTACGGATGCAATCTTTCCAGTGGTTTGCCGTCACTCTGTTGACAGCTTCATAAAACACATTTTTCACGCCAGAAAATTTGTATGTTCTATTTGTTTGAAGCCACATAGTTTCTTGCCCAAATAATTTCATTGGGATTTAATTCGCAGTGATCAGGGGGTAGCCTTAAAACGGTCTTATTTTGGTTTTTATCCATTTCAATAACAATAAGATCATTTTTATATTTCTGCTGCCTGACTAGATGAATAAGTTTTACTTTGACCATATTTTCATTGAAACTAATGTCTTTTGATAGGAGCCATTGTTGAATTTCTGCCTTTCTTGTGGACTTTGTGGGAATTTTTTCCAATGTGGTATACAGCATTATTAAGTACAATGACGACGGCAGTGTCGTCAAGCTTTAGGAGCGTTTCTTCAAACCGTCGTTCAAATGAACTCCAGTCCATTTCTTCATGGTAAATCGGTCGTTTTCTTTGACTGAAATGCCCATTGGACAGTCGGCACAAAGCCATCTTCACTGCCAATGTGACAGATAACAAATTGTTTTCCTTTTCCTGGAAATAATTATTCTAGATAATATTCAAGAAAATTAATAATAATACAGGGTGGGGCAAAAGTCGCGAAGGGATTTGAAAAATTAATCACTATTTAAATTTTATTTTTTTTCCTTACACAAATCTAAAATGCAATATTTGGAGTCTGTTTACAATTTAAGTGTGAAAGATTACATCACGCAAATGACCGCCATTTTCAGCCTCGCAAAGTGCAGCTCTTGAGCATTTTCCATGACCCGAGTCAGAATATCTGGCCCCAAAGCACGTACTTCTGCTCGAATATTATCCTTTAGTTGCTGCAGGGTTGTGGGTTTATTAAAATATATCAAATGTCCCCAAAGGAAATAATCAGGGGCTGTTAAGTCCGGCGAGCCAATTGAATCCCGAATTTCTCGAAATTAAACGTTTGCCAAAAATCTGCCTTGGAAGGTGCAGTGGCTCGAGCAGTATGCGCAGTGGCCCATCTTGTTGGAACCTCACAGCTTGATTGTCAGGTTGGTCTTAAGAAATTTTGAATCGTATCCCGATATCGCTCGCCATCTACAGATGCAGTATTCCCATCGTGGTCTTCGATGAAGAATGGTCCAATAATTCGCTGAGACGTAACAGCGCACCATACTGTACATTTAAGCGGATGTAATTGCCTTTGATGAACCACCCTTGGGTTCTCGGTATCCCATATTCTGTAGTCCTGCTTATTTACAAAGCCATTCAAATGAAAATGGGCTTCATCTCTCATGATCAGAGCATAAATAAATTCATTATCTTCTCGAGCCATTCTTTGCAAGCGAACTGCATAAGCTAGTCGTTCTTGGAAATCTGCTGGTTTTAGTTCTTGCACTAGCTGCACTTTATATGGAAACAGATGTAAATTTCCTCTTAATATTCTGCGTAAAGACTTTCGAGACATCTGCAGCTTAGCAGAACGCCTTCGGGTTGAGGTTTCCGGATTCTCCTGAACGCTCTCGTGAACGCGTTGAATGTTCTCTTCATTTCTTGCGGAACGTGGCCTTCCGCTTCGTGGGAGATCCATAACTGTGCCTTGTTGCTGAAATCGTGCCACTAAGCGTTGAATCATTGATTCAGAGGGCGAATTCCGCAAATTGAAATGACGACGATATGCTCGTTGAGTTTGAATTATTGAATGATGATATTCAAAATAAAATTATATAACTTTGGTTCGTTGATTAAGTTTGTAACGCTCCATAATTAATCTCCCGGATTTATGTTTCAGTCCTGAAACAAAAAAACTAAACTTAAAAAAGTTATTAACTTTTCAAATCCCTTCGCGACTTT